ACAAAAACCTTGTACGTCGACTACAACCAACTTCATCGTATCAATTATGTCAACTGACTGAGAGGAAAGCGACTATGTAATTTTTTTTGTATCGATCCAACTGTTGTGAGTGTTATTAAATCCTAACCATTTTACATAAAGTTGATTACCTTTCTTTTTTAAAACTTTTTCAGCGAGATATACACCTGGATGCTTAACTTTCAATAGTTCCATTTCATAGAAACCACCTAAAATGTTTTCACCCTTTTCATCTTTCAAAAAATATGTGGTGGGATTAGTGAGATTAATTTTTCTTATTATGAAAATCTCATTTGACCAATTGGGTGTGTATCCCTTATCGAATATTCCGCGATACTTACTTATTCTTACGTTATCACCAACTTTAAATTTTGATTTATTGCTAACTATTTTAATCTGAGTATAAGCAGCTTTTAGAATAGCGTTTTCATTACTTTTGTTAACTTGTGACGGTTTCATTTTTATAGTACGATGATAAGAATTATTATATCGATGTACCACATTTGCCAATAAATCTAACCATTTATAATTTCCTTGCAAACTAAATTCTTTCCACATTAAATTTTTTAATGTGCGATTTACTCTTTCGACGATTGAGGCTTTTTTTAAACTGTAGACATTGTAATGATTAATTTTGTATTTTTTCATAAGATTTTGAAACTTTACGTTGTAGAATTCTTTTCCTTGATCTGTTTGTAAATTTTTGGGTAACCGTACGATTTTGGATAAAATTGTTTCCATTGCAGTGGCGATTTGTTGAGCATCTTTTGACTTTACAGGGACAGCCCACACGTATTTTGAGAAACAGTCAATAACAACAAGTATATATTTGTATCCTCTGTTTATCTTAGCATACGGTATCATTTCCACTAGATCTGCTTGTAATGTTTCATTAATACCTTTTATTATAACCTTGCGTCGTTTAAAATTAATTCTTACAGGTTTGTGCAATTCTGCAACAATATCTCTTTTAATGGGAGTTGGCTCATACACCTTCTTGCGTTTCATTTTTATCAGTCTTATGTATATAATGTGCTTTCTCGGCACTAACTAACGATTCTTCAAAATTAACAGGACATTTTATTAGCATTTCTGCGAACAAATTTGGTACATTTTCTGTTTTATTTACAGCATATTTGAACGATATTCGATCACCGTTACGTAGTACAAATCCTTTCAATTCTTCTTTACTAAAAAATTTGTTATTTACATAAACATTTATTTCATTACTGGTAATATTCAATTTTGTAAGGGTTCCAATCTCTAAAGGAAACGTATAGTGCGTTTCTTTAGAATTTAATACATACGTGTTTTCCACGGTTTTATCGGATTCGAAGCGAAATATCAGATTATAAAACATATAGTTTGAAATAGTAATCATATCATTGTCGATAGAACCTGAAAGTTTAGCATGTTTTAACAAATGACGCCCGAATTTATCCAGAGTCATATTAAGCAATAATTTTAGCTTCGCGTAGTTCTTCTATTATAGAAACGATTTCGTTTTGATGACCCGAATGGCCTGCTGTCTGGGAAGCGACTAACAACTTCAGTCTTTCAACTAATTCATTTGGATCTTCCCAATACACATAATCAACTTTATTTGTGTTTACTTCTTTAAATAGTACTTGACCACCTTTCTTCGGTTTTTTATACTTCGTGAGAGTTGAGAATAATGGTCCTATAATATTTTTGTATTTCATCGAACTTGTACCCAATATTCGATCATTTTCATCGAAATTTCTTCGATATGCATTGGTTTTTTCTAAAATTTTTTTGTAAATTTCCTTGTCTTCCGTAGTAAAATGAACAGGCTTCTTTTTAAAAATAAGTTCATAAATTCCAGGAGTCCCTTTAAAGATTTCATTGTCTATTTTTATATCTGGACCTATAAATTGTACCTCCTTCGAACCAATATAAAATTTCTCTGAGAAAGTGTCATGTCTTACGCCTGTTCTGTGATCAAATTTACTTTCAGCATCGTGATGCATTTCGTCAATATATTTTCTGGGTAATTCATCAAAATCACTTAAATATTCGTTGTAAACGTCTGTATCAACGATGTTTTTAATATAATTTTTACTTAACTGAACAGATTTTTCAAGAACCTCATTGAAGTTATAATTATCATTGTCTTCCTCGGGAATGTATTGGAACACATTGTCCTGTGCATCTGTTTTATTTATTGATTCTTCGAAATCTTCCTGTGATAAAACATCATATTTTGAACTAATCGGACTCATTCGATCTTCTTTTTCATTTTTGATGGCATCGATTCTTTTCACAAGGTTAGTAACTTTTGTGGCAATTCTTTTTTGTCTTGGCGTGAAAATTTCTGCTTGCTTTGGTGTAGTAACAATAGTTTTTTTCTCACGAACAGGAGACAGAATTGTATTTTCTAACTTTCGCTTTGTAGGTGTACTATGCTCAATGTTCGACACATTTTTTGTTTTCACATCTTGATTACTTTTTATTGGATTTTCACTCCGTCTCTCAATTAATGTTTCCAAATGTTTAGTGAGGGGTTCATACTTTTTCTCTTCATTTCGTTGAGTTGCTTTAATTAGTTCTAATTTTCTTTGTAAATCTTTTCTTTTCTTAATCAGTTTCTTTTTTAAATCAACCACATCTGATATTTTTGAATCCATGTCTCCTAAGGCTTCCGAAAATACAAATAAACTGAATCTATTTATTTGAATGATAGGCTTATATACCTATGCAAAATTTCACAAACATTCTATAAAAATACTTTATTCAATAGTACAGATGCACATGTTTTGTTTTGTAATGATCTCTTATATGATCTTTATAGTAGCAGTATATACATGGTAAGTTAGGAGTATCTGTTTCACCTCCACATTTTGGACATTTATATTTTACAGGAACTGGCATGTTGAATGTTCAACATACTTCTATAGACTGAAATTATGAAAATGGATCAATAAAATTATCAAATCCTTTTCTAAACCGACCACTACGAATTTCGTTCTCTTTATCGACTACTAAAAAATCATAACTGTTTTGCCAGCAAAATGAACACATTTCTTTAAATTTATCAAATGAGATATCAGTGCCGATATGATCATCATAGATATGGCGCAAGTTTAAATTATCTTGCTTAAATAAAATGATAAAATTTGCGTTGTCTCTTATTAGATGCTTAGGAATACATGTGTAGGTTTGACATAAATAAAAACAATCTATATTTCTGTGTCGTCCCATGCTAAAATATTCTTTCATTAAATTTTGCTTGTCACATGCCACATCGTCAAAAATAAAGACAGAATTAGTTTTAGCTTTGTGCGGTGGTGGTATGTTGTTATTGTCGAAATTGCTGAAACTATAAAAATTTAAACCTTTAATAGGTTTTAGAAGATTTTCCAAATATTGATATTTTGGTTGGAAAAGAGATTTAGAATACACATAGACATTTTCAAATCTTAAACCATTTGGATGTTCGATTAAACCTATCATAACATTAGTCTTTCCGCAGTTAGACGGTCCGACAATAATACATCTTACTGTAGATGGTAAAAGATCCCCATGTCTTTTATTCTCACTGTTAATTTTGATATCGTTATTATTTATCGGCAATTTGAGGTTTTGAGGTGTCAAACGCATTTCGACATCTGATTAAGAAACTGACATGTGGGGGGGTATAAATACTAAATGTTTCTACGTTTCCGTTAGTATTTTAGCTGATCCGAAAGTTTGAGTATAAATGAAGATTACGAAGCGAAAAAGGAACAGTCGTCGAATTGAGACCTACAGAAAGAGATATTGTGGACGTGGGATCGTAAATTCGGTTATTAATAAATTACCGTTTGAACTTCATATTCCCGGTTATAACTTTTGTGGACCAGGAACTAAATTAGAAAAACGATTAGCAAGAGGAGATAAAGGCCGGAATCAATTAGATGAAGCTTGCAAATTTCATGATATAGCTTATGGGGAACATAAAGATTTGGAAAATCGACATAAGGCCGATAAAGTTCTGTTAGATAAAGCGAAACTTAGACTACGTTCTTCGGACGCTTCTTTGGGCGAAAAAGCTGCTGCTTTAGGTGTTGCGGCTGCCATGAAAGCTAAAATAAAACTCGGTATGGGTTGTCGAGTCAAAAGACAAACTAGCAAACGTGGAAAAGTCTTGAATTTTAATGTTTTAAGAAAATCCGCCAGACTTGCTTTAAAAAATAAGAAATTTAAGAATATGAACGATGCTGTAAAAGTGGCCATGAGAGCAGTAAAATCATCAATAGGAAAAAAGAGAGTGAGACCTGTTCGTCACAGACGTATAATACCCATACCGAAAAGTGGTGGATTTTTACCTCTACTACCAATATTTGCCGCTTTAGGCGCTCTGGGATCTTTAGGTGGTGGCGCAGCAGCCATTGCAAAAGCTGTTAACGATGCTAAATCAGCTAAAGAACAGTTGAAAGAAAATCAACGACACAATCAGAAAATGGAGTCGATAGCTGTAGGAAAGTCAGGAAGTGGATTATATTTGAAACCATATAAAAGAGGATATGGTCTTTTTTTAGCTCCATCAAAATTTCAAAAGAACTCCCGATAAATATTCCAAAACATGCTCTCACCAACATCGACATTTACAAATATGTAAAGCGTTTGAAAATTCCCCGCTTCAGAGGAGTTTTTATGAAAAATTCACTTCCAAATAAAGTACGCTTTAATGAGTGTGGTATATTAAATTTAGACAATAAGGAAGGTCCTGGAACACATTGGACAGCTTATAAAAAAACTCGAAACGAAGTTATATACTTTGATAGTTATGGAGATTTGAGACCACCTCTTGAACTGATCAAATATTTACAAAGCAACGGTTTCTGTAATATAGTATATAATTATGAATCTTTACAGACTTTTAATAGTATTAATTGTGGACATTTGTGTTTAAGATTCCTATATAACTGCTACAAATAAAATTGTTTGAAATTCGAGCGTTTTAGTTGAACTGTTGTTACGCTCAACTTTGGCATTTCGCGTTTTTAAAAGGTTGCCTACCCGACTCTCACATCGAGACCGAAATTAAGTCTAATTTTGTAAAGTCCATGGTTGATCGATGATTAAATCGATGGGATGCGTGCGACGATGCGTGGTAGAAAGGTCGGAGAAAGATGGCGAAAGGACGCTAGTGTGTGTGGTGCCCAGAAATTCAGTCTCTGCTATATTTGTGAGGTTCCCGATGGAACGACGTTTGAGTTTTTGGCGAGAGGAGATTGTCTGGGGCACAAATTTGAGAGTTTTGCCGACCGCCATTGAGTAACCACGAGTCAGTGCGTACACGTGGAGATCCCTTTTGATAAGGTAATTTCGGTTGATTTTTTTTGTTCTCTAGCTAAAGTTAATTACTTTAGGGAAATAAGTAAGGCTGAATTAAAGCTGGAGTAAAGTAAGCTCGTTGTTGAAGCGGATGACTCCGTTCACCGGTATTTTGGAGCCAGAAGTTTGGTGATATCCATTCTACGTTTTTTTGTGCACCTGACGCCATTTTGTGGTGGATAGAAAATTTTCGATTAGAAACCGAAAGAGCTTTCGTTGAGGTCTTGAATCAAGCAGGACATGGACCTGTGATAGTCAAGAGAGTTTTTTTGAGCGTAACCGACATTTTTGAACGTGAGGTGATTGAAGTCAAGACACGTGAAAAGGCAACGTGGCCATTATCCGTGGCACTAGGGTCAAGCAAGAGCACTAGTAGGTAGAGCTTCGGTTGGAGCTGTTGTGGTTGCCGAGGTCAACACGTAGTCGACTTCAGTATATTTTTTTGAAGTACGAATCGTAGCCCAGGAGGAGCAACGAAGGTCGTAGACAGATAAGTTTAGAATTAAGTTCATAATTCCAGTATTGTTAAAGAGTTCTAATCTTTCGTTTGGGAAAAAAGTATTTAATAACAAGAGCGGAGCGTCAATAAGTACTTATTTTTGCGCGCTTTCATGACCTGATTCTAGTCAGATATTTTGGAAACCCACCGAATTAGATATCTTTTTTTGAGCGTCATTGTATTTCCAATAAGTCTTAGTAAACCCGAAGTAATCTTTCTTTATTTTTTTCTTTTTTATTTAATGAGAAGTGTCATTATTTTCTTGTGTAAATAAACTATTTTAATAAGGGGATTACTCGTGTCCTTTTTCCTGTTCAAGTTCAGTGCACACACAGTTTAGTCAGAAGTGAAGGTAAGTTTAAAGTAAGAGAGGAGGAAAGGCCAAGTAGATTTTTTGATTTGTCGTTATCGTTCCGGCAACGGGAACATAAGTGACTCAGCAGGTCGTTGCTGGCGCCCTAAATAAATTGAACCACGAACCCTGCTCCCAGCGAAACCCTGAGTGCCGGTGCTTATGCTCGTTTCGTTGGGGTATGACAGCCCTGAGTCACTTAAATTAGAACGAGGCGTAGCACTGTTAGTGTCGTTGAAGTAAGTTGCACGATGTCGAACGTATTCTCATTGGATGGAAACAGTTCTGTACTTTCGAGCAGATACTATCCACCAATTATCTTGGAAGATTATAACTATGCTTTAGGATTAGAAAGTTTGGTTACTTGGAATTCTTTTCCAAATATCGATAACAATAACAACAAATTTTATTTTTTTACACCAGACAAAAAAGAGCATTACATAGAAATTCCCGAGGGTTCTTACGAGATAGAAGACATTGAGTCGTATTTAAATAAAGAAATCAAAAACTATATGGAACATTATTTTCAATACGAAACTGACAAACACGGAAATAGAATAAAGAAATTTAAAATGTTAACACCAAGCTTAATAATCAGAGGAAATAATAATACTTTAAAATCGGAAGTTAAATGTACTCTTGATATAAATTTTTCAAGAAAGGATTCGTTAGGGAATTTATTGGGATTTAAGGATACCATTCTGAAAGCGCATAAAACTCATATATCAGATTTTCCAGCAAAAATTTTAAAGGTAAATGCTCTTTGCGTTTATTGCAATATAGTAACTGGTTCATACAAGAACGGAAGTCCCGTTCACGTTATCCATCAATTTTTCCCAACAGTACCACCTGGTTACAAAATAGTGGAACGACCATTAAATGTGATATATCTACCAATTAATACGAAACAAATAGATGAAATAATCGTTAAAATAACAGATCAAGAAGGTAATATTGTTAGTTTCAGAGGTGAAGAGGTAGGTGTACGGTTGCATCTTAAGAAGGTCACGTGATGGGTATTATATTTAATGAAAATCTAAAAAACCGAAATTCGGTATATATAAGTAGGGCAATGAAAAAGAGATCAGTCAGTCCTTTGAGAAGGGTCAAACGTTTAACTTTAGGCAATCGTAAATTTCTTGAATCTCTAGGATTAACGGTCTTGAAATAATATTTTTATTGAATATATAAATCAGCAATGAATTTTGAAATATTAAACGTAAGCGAAAAAGCTGCCTATGATCATTCAATTTATTATGGAGAAAGACATACACACCTACCTTATTCTAACAGTTCATTTAACTACGATGATGAAATAAGAATTCCTATTGAACATCAAGATTTATACACTTTTCCACATTTGAGTACATTGCACATAGAGGGTAAGGTTATTGTGAAGAATGAAATCGACGAAATTGTACAGAAACCAGAAATCAAATTTGTAAATAATGGCGTTCTTCTGATGTTTAATCAAATAAGATATGAAATTGCTGGAGTCGTTGTGGATAGTATTAGAAATCCTGGGTTAGCGTCTACCATGAAAGGATATGTAACGTATAACAGTAATGAAAGCGTAGCTCTAGAGAATGCTGGATGGTTTCCTAAAAAAGATTCGAATATAATTAAGGAAAATGGAACTTTTGAAGTTTCGATTCCATTAAAAATGATTTTTGGTTTTTGTGAAGATTTTAAAAAGACCATTTTGAATGTAAGACAGGAGCTTGTTTTGGTTCGTTCTAATACCGATGTGAATGCTTTAATTTCCTCAAATGATAAATACAAAATTAAAGTAGAACTTAGTAAAATATGCTGGAAAATGCATCACTTGTCCGTGTCCGATGCCGAAAGGATCGCATTAATCGATATTGTAAGAAGCAACAGGGAATTGGATATTATGTTTAGAAGTAAAGAATTACATGAATTTGCTCCACCAGTACAATCGATAACAAATACTTGGACTATTAAAACTTCCTTAGAAAAACCTCAGTACCTACTTTTTGCATTACAGCAAGGAAGAAAAAACCAATTGAAGAAAAACTACAGTCAGTTTGATCATTGTAATCTGAGAGATGTAAAATTGTACCTTAATGATACCATGTATCCCTACGACAACCTGAATGTTGATTTCACAAATAATCGGTATGCAATTCTCTATGATATGTTTAAAGAATTCCAGACATCGTTCTTATCCAAACAAACCAGCGAACCATTATTCGATAAGGATGAATTCAAGGAAAAGACGCCTATAATAGTAATCGACTGTTCTAAACAAACGGAAGCTTTGAAGAGAGGCCCCGTTACAATCACTTTGTGGTTTGAGACGATCTCTGGTATTCCTGCAGACACTACAGCCTACTGTCTTATTCTTCACGACCGAATGGTAAAATACATCCCTGCACAAGATGTCGTCAGAGTGTTGTAAATAATTTAACCTGTTATTGTAATATTATGTTTGGGGGTAAATAAAACTACATATAACCCATTTCTGTGTGTTTTATTCATGGCTACCAGAAATTACATGTAAAGTTTTCTTATAATCATCTAACTTAATCGAGGGCCATTTTGTTGAATCCGGTCCCTCAGTCCATCCTAATGGTATTTCAGGATTGGCTTCTCCTTTGACAATGTTCTTTTTGATCCAGTTGAAAATTCTTCGGTGCTCCTGATTTTGAGAAGGTTGAAATGCGAAAGAATCGTAATTTATTATTTCTAAAGACTCATAGAAAGTACTGAGCGCTTTATGGTTTGCCAAATACGCAGCCCGACACATAAATTCATCCACGCACTGGTCGATCCTTCGATAATTTTTCCGGATATTCTCAACAGGATAGAATATATCTCCAAGATTCTGCCAGCGATTATCACTCAATAATTTATAAATAAAACATTTATACGTTAGAGTATTGTCCAAATAGTTGGTGGTCATCAAAAACTCCAAAGCAGCATAATTTAAATTTTCAATTTGGTCTCTTTCGCATACATGTAGAAATGCATCAATGTAACCATCGACACATTGCTTTCTTTGTAGCAGAATACAAATGTCAAGTGTATAAAAGTCACTTTCACTTTCGGCAATCCATTTAAACACTTCGTCCGGTACAATAAAATCTTTTTTATCGATGAGATGAAGGAATAAATTTAATTTCGTTCGATCACTCGCAGCGGCTTTAAGATATGTTTTGTACACATTTTCGGATGCACAAAATACTTGTAAATCAACAAATTGTCTCAAGTCAGACATTGTTGTAATCATAAAATAACCAACATCGAATAAATCATCTGTGAAATTTAATTGCTTATATATGGCAATCCCCACTTTTTTTAACTTACGTGCGAAATATGATATCCCCAAGGTTTCGTATCCGTTGCAAATCTTGTGACAATCCTTTTATCATCATTTGGGCTGAGAACTACTTTTTCTTGTTTTACTGTGTAAACAGTATGATGTTTGGACTTGATGAGTCTTTGTGATTTTTCGTAACTTCGATTATTAAATAAACATTCTTTGTAATTTTCAAACGTTATTGTTTTAAGTGATGCTTTTGTACTACCTTTGGATTTTTTAACTAATTTTTTATTGAAATCGTCACTTGCAATTCTATATGCGTACATTTTAGATCTGAGACCCACAAATTCTAGCATAATCTCACCGTTATTTTCATCTTTCATTAAACCTGGTACTTTCTTATTTTTCAGTTCTATATCATAAATATTATATAAATCATAGTCAGAAGTATCAAATCGATGTGAGTCTTTCTTAATATATTTGTATATATCGTCTACGTGAAATTCATAAATTAGGCTGTCAGTGTCGGTATAAAGTAACTTAGCATTATTTTTAAATGTTTTTTTAATATAGTCATAATGAAATTCATAGAGAAAAGTTTTAGAAATATCTAAAATGCAAAAACCAACATAAATTGGTTTATTCAAAAATACTTCTAATTTACTCATTTCGATTATTGCTGAATCATCGTCAAATACAACAGAACTGTGAAAATTTGGTTTAGATATAAGAGAACGAACTCCCCATCTTCCCTCCCATTTACTAACCAATCGAATATCGCGATGTTTTCTTACATTTTCCATGCATTTACCATAAATAGCATTAATCATTAATTTAAAAAAATCTTTTTCAAAATCGTTCTTTGCTTGCTGCCTAAGTTTTGTATTTAAATCTATATATTCCTTTAACCACGCAGATTGTTTGAATTTCATAACACGATGTACACATTTTATTTTCATACCAAATTTTGTATACATTTTTAAATTCCGATAATGAATAATATAATTTTTCTTGGGATATAAAGTCAACAATAACTTCTTAAGTTTAGATCTTGAAATGGGCGGTATCATATGCTCTGGAGCTAATGGTAAATCACTATGAATTTCATGTAAATCTATTGGATAATCTAAATCGCATTCAATAATATAACCGATTGCTGAATTTTCTGGGGTATCTAAGATATCAGCTATATTGAAATTTTCTACAAACTCAAATTCTCCATACGGTAAATATTGAGACATTGCCGCTCCGTAAAGGTTGTTAACATCAAAATACATTAAATAGGTACTATCTTTCGAAGGATCATATTCTTCTTTTGGCATGTATTTGTTATTGGCTTTACCGTATCTATTGGAACACTGCGAAACTCCACCTCTAATACCTCTTTCTACAAATAGAACTTTATCTATATCCGTTAAAAGTTCTAGTTTAATTTCTGTTGTTTTTAACATAGCATCAAATGTTAGGCCCGGAGCAGTATAATAATGCAACGGATCAAGTTGATAAGTATTTAAACAAGTAGTTCGAAAAGCTTCAAATACATCGGCTAGAAGAAGCACATCAGTTTTTAAATATAAATCAGAATATTCTCCTAATGTATGAATATTAAAAGTATTCCATACATTGGTAGCATGGGAATAATCTTCATATTTAA